GCAAGTTTGATTCCCGGGAGGAGGGCATGGCAACCCACTCCAGTATTCTTGCCTAGAGAATCCCATGGATAGAGGAGCCTGTTGGGCTACAGCCCATGGTGTCGCAGAGTGGGACATGACTGAAGTGACTTAGCATGCAGGCACACAAGAAACACCACACGTGCCACTTCTTCTGTTCCTCTTAGCACGCTGTGACTGGTGGAGACGGGAGGGGAGGGGAGGCGATCGGTGGGGCAGGTCCTGCTGATAGGGCTTCCTCACGTCCAAAGCTGAGGGAGCTTCAGGGGTGCTCAGAATGTTATTAATAGCCGAGGAGTTCCACTTTCCAGGTGACTGGGTGGGGTGGAGCACGGGCTGGAGCACAGTAGAACTCAGCAGGCAACAAGGTGAACAACAAATCCACCCTCACGAGGACTATCTAAACACCAAGTTATTTCCTCCAGGCCTTCCAGAATCACTAACTCATTCACACCACAAACTTCCACCTCAAGGCAGCTGTGTGCACAGTGACTGGTTTCATGCACGCCTCTTCCATGGTTTCTAGCCAGAGCCACCAGTTCCAGCAGCTGCTCTGTGATGGAGTGCTGGGCCTCCCAGGGGCACTGCGCTGCGTACTGGGGAGGCAAGGACAGAGCCAACAGTGCGCGCTGTTCCTCCAGCAGATAAAGATCCCCCTCTGCCCTCTCATCTTCCATTGCCGATGCTCCAAGGCCTAAGGAATACTCTGTCCCAGATCACGGTGACTGTGGCCTCTACATGCCTTTCCTGATTCCCGGCAGTTTCACTTCCTGGAACGCTACATTCCCAGTGCTCTGACAGTGCCAGAGGCGTGTTTAGGTACCTCCCTTGGACACCTCCCAGGTTTGAAGCCTTGAAGTCATCTCCGCTTTCCCTTCTCTCCCACCGCTCACGAGCACAGCCCCAAACCCTCTTGAGTCTACCCCACACTCTCTCCATCCCATCACTGCTGAAGGCAGCTCATGAGGACATTAGTCCACCAGGCTCCTCTGTCCATGGGATTCTCCAGGCAAGTATACTGGCGTGGGCTGCTATTCTCTTCTCCAGGTGATCTTCCCAACCCAGGGATCGAACCTGGGCATCACAGGCAGATTCTTTACCGTCTGAACCACTAGGGAAGCCCAAGGATGCTTGATACCAGCTCCCAGCTGATCTGTCTCACCCCCACTGACGCGTCTCCAGCCCTGATCCATCTCACACGAGGCTTCCAGAAAGAGGTCCTCAGGTCCACATTCCTGGCAGCATTACTCCTCTGTCTGAACCCTCGCCAGTCTCCCTTCACCTATAGGAGGAGGTCCTCGGCTTGGCATTCAAAGCCATCCAAATGTGCTGGCCGCCCCTGCCTTTCTAGCTTTGATTTCTGCTCCACTCCCCTGGCCTCAGCCTGTGTTCTGGCCACACACATCCACCAGCTGCTCCTTAGAAAGCTCTCAAGTTGCCCTCAACTTCAGGTTTGGCTCTGGCTTTTTCTTCCATGTTGAGATGCTCTCATTTGTGTGCAGCTTATCCCTTGCTTTGGGCTGCTCCACTCTGAGGAACCTCCCCAGGCCCCACAATCAAAATGCACCCCAACTTCTCCACATCCCCAACAGGCTGTCAGTATGAGCACAGAGCTCCTTCTGTCCCTATCCAGCTGTCACTTACAGGATGAGATCTCAGCGGCAAGCACTCCTGATGGTTTCTTTCTTTCTTAGGAGGAGAAGAATAACACTTAGCCTTCTCAAAGAAGCCATTAAATATTAGCCTCATTTAATATGATTATTTTACTGTGGCACTATTTAAACCACTGATTTGAGGACAAAATTAGGTACATGTATTTTCAAATTCCCTGGTGGCTCGGATGGTAACGAATCTGCCTGCAATGCAGGAGACCGGGGTTCGATCCCTGGGTTGGGAAGACCCCCTAGAGGAGGGCAAGGCAACCCGCTCCAGTGTTCTTGCCTGGAGCATCCCTATGGACAGAGGAGCTTGGCTGCAGTTGCAAAGAGTCAGACAAAACTAAGTGACTAAGCACAACACACAGAGCACATTTTCAAGGTCAGTAAGACCCCCTGGAGAAGGAAATGGCAACCAACCCACTTCAGGATTCTTGCCTAGGAAACACCATGGAAAGAGGAGTCTGGTGGGCTACGGTCCCTGGGACGAAAGTCGGACACAACTTAGCAACTAAACCACCACCACCCTTTTCAATGTACTTGAGACTCAGTAGTAGCAATTAACTTGGAACACCAAAAAGCAAGCCAGTAGCAGAATATGCTAGAAAACCCCTGTATGCTGAAGGAATGTGAAAACTTAACCATCAACTGCTTGGTATCCTTGAGAGATGTCAAAACAAGACAATACTGTTCTAGTGAATCAGCTGGCTAAATACTGACTAGAGTAAAAAATCAGGGTGGCGGTGCCCAGTCCTCAGTTACTTTCCATCTAAAGCAGAAAGATGTGCATTTTTTTTTTTTTTAAGAAAACCACGCTGCATTATGGAGGTTCTGTCTAAGCATTGCTATCAGGCAGAACAGGGAACACACGGGGACACGGTGAACAATATCCTCACACAGTGACGTCATGCTGCTAGGATCTTTGAATGTGAGGAATCTGGCTTGGGTGTGAGTTTTTGGATGCAAAATTCACTCAAAATGAGTTTTTAAAAAAGGTGGAGGTGGGGCAGGATGTTTTCACATAATTTATGTGAAAGAAGTTACACTGGGGGACGGAATACTCGATAACCAAGCAGATGATCTATCAATATATATACTGTATTAGTCTTTTCTAGTTGTGGAATTGGATTTTTAAAAAAACATTTTATTTTGAAATAATTTTAAACATAAAGAAAAGATGCAAGTATAGCAACTACTTGTGTTTAACACTTACACACACAGTTTTATTTTTTCTGAGCCATTTCAGAGTAAGTGGCAGTCACTGTGCCCTTCTCCACCTTAATATTTCAGATGTGCATTTCCTAAGAATAAAAATACTCTTACGAAACTATAGTATGGTTATCAGATTCAGGAAATTTAATATTGATTTTAATCTATAGACAATATTTCAATGTTGTCAGCTATTCTAATCACTTTCTGTACGGCTTTTCACCCCTCCAGTACAGGATCTGGTCTAGGGTAACATACTATATTTAATCGTTCTAGATTCTTGTCTTTTTTCGCACCTCAAATCATCTTTTATAGATCAAGATGGGGAATACAAAGACAAGTAGCCTTTTACATTACTTACCCCTCAAGGCTTTCACACATGGAACTGTACATGCAAGACACTGAATATATAATTACTGATTTCTGTTTCTTGAGAAAAACCAGAAGGAGGGAGAACATGGTAATGAACTTGGAAAAATTCGGAAAGAAATCAAAGTAGTAGGGCAAATATTCTAAAGATTAGGAGAGAAGAAGTCCACTTATGAATTACAGCATGAAATGATCTTTCCTATCTTTGGTGAGAGGGTCCTACAGTAATCTAATGAGTAGTACATTCTACCAAATGCTTACTGAGCACTTGCTGGGTGCTCCATGTATCCTTCTAAGGAACATGTGTAATTTGAAAAAGGAATAAATCATTAATGGCAGAATTTTGGGTATGAGGAGCTCTGAAAGCTTGGGACAGGGATGGGAGAAGGCTGCTTGCACAATGCTCACAGTGCCAAACTGAAGGTTTTCCCACTGAGAGGCCAAGCTGATCCTGGCTAAGCTTCAGTAGTATCATGGGAGATTACTAACACACTAGCTTCCTCTACATATGCAGAGAAAAGTGACCAGACCATTATAAGAGAGGACTCAGGTATAGGGAAGTTCACACATTCCAGAAGAAGCTCCCAGGGGAATTCAGTTCAGTTCAGTTCAGTCGCTCAGTCGTGTCCGACTCTTTGTGACCCCATGAACCACAGCACACCATGCCTCCCTGTCCATCACCAACTCCCGGAGTCCACCCAAACTCATGTCCATTGAGTCAGTGATTCCATCCAACCATCTCATCCTTCTCCCTTTCTCCTCCTGCCCTCAATCTTTCCCAGCATCAGGGTCTTTTCAAATGAGTCAGCTCTTCGAATCAGGTGGCCAAATCAGGTGACCCAGGGGAATGAGGGACCCCGAATCAGGTACCAACACTGTATGGCTGCTTCCCCTCCCATTCTGCTATCCATTAATGTAAACTTCCTTGCTCAGCTTGTGACTATCCATCTCAAAATGGTATTCTTCTCCCCTTTGGGATGGCTGGCCCAGAGCTCTTTCCTGACATCTAGCCCCAAATGCAGGGAATCCAAGTCTACCAGAGCAGTCACCTTCCCATATGGCCATTTGCTCAGAGGTGTGACCTTGCTTCTATTCCACTTAGCCCTGTCCCTTCTACCCAGCAGTCCATTTTCTGTCTTTAGCCTGGAGTTCCCTTTTGCTTCCACAGCACTTGCCCTCACATACAGGTAACCAGGGCCCAGAGCTCTAAAAAAGCTCATATTATAAGCTGAGTGGTTATGAACTCAGAACTACTCATCTAGGCTGCTCCTCTTTCCACTCCCCTCTGGCCTCCTGTCACCACCAAATGAAGAGCCAAGACACGAGGAGGATCAACTTGAAATGCACGGAGGAACCAAATGATGGATCTGTAATTCCTGGATTATGCAACCACACAGAAAATCCAGACTTGGCCTTATTTAAAAAGGATGACCATGTAACCAAGAGAAGGTACCGATAGATATTTATCTTTGAAAGCAGTTTTTCTCTATAATGTCCTAGAGGAGGTGGCAGCAAATTGTGGCTAGCAAATCAAATCTGGGCAGCCACCTGCTTTTGTAAATGAAGCTTTATTGGAACACAGTCATGTTCACTTGTTTACCTATTGCTTAGGCTGCTTTCCCACTAAAATGGCAGAGTTGAGACAGAGACTGAATGGCCTAAAAGATTCACTCTCTGGCCCTTCACAGAAAATGTGTCAACTCCTGTCTAAGAGCTCTGAGGCACTGAAGAGAGATAAGAGCAAGGTACCTGTTGACTGGCAAGTGTTTTCCTGTGACATGGCGGTCATCACAGTTTCCGTGGCTGCATCTCGGACGACTTGCTCCTCACTCTGCAGGAGGGTGAGGACACACTTCCAGAGAGCAAGCGTATCCTGCAGTCCTAAGAAGGCCAAAAAGAATTCAGATTACCTAGGACGCAATCTACAGGCTGGCACAAATAACTGCTTCAAATCCAGTACTGAATGAGGTATTCCTTTTTTTGTGGGTATTGCAAGGAAGGGAGACCTGAGCATCAGATAAAACAGGAACAGCGAGGACCCTAAGGGGACAGGTTTGGAAATGTCCTTTGGAATAGGAAAGGCTTTTGGAGGTAACCGGCCCCAGGCAAGGCCCCCCTGAGAAGATATGGCCTGGCTGACTCAGGCCTAGCTGTCCACAATGACTCATATTTCTCAGGAATGAAACTTTATGCCTCAAGAGTGCTTTGGGGAAACTAGTCAAGTGTTGATCTGAGTGACTGTTTGAACTTATAAATTCCGAAAGCAAAGTTTCAATCAAGATTATGCTTTGGCTGGGGGGGAGGGTGGGCAAGAACTGAAAAAAAAAAAAAAAGAAAAGCCAAGAGTCACAATATAGGCTGGGCAATGTCCTGACCACCGCTCCTGCCCCCTGGGCAGGGACCCCGTCAAGTCCACATGCCTGGTGCTGCTGGGGCCACAGAGAAGGAGCAGAGAGCGCCTGTCCCTGAGCGACCGAAATGGACATCAAGTGGAGAACACGCGGTAAGGAGAAGGCAGGGCTGGGCATGCGTGGCTGTGACTCGCCACAGAGGAAAGGTCCCGGGGGGCTGGTACAAAGGAGCTGGGCTGCATGAGGGAGGGAAGGGGGCGGGGCCTCAGAGGAAGGACACCGCTGTGCAGGCGGCGTGGGCCACCACAGGAGACCACCGCTCACCATCCCCTGCCTTTTTAGTGGGGAACCAACTCTGCCCTGAGAACCCTCCTTATCCCACATTCTCCCACATCCGTCCACAGAGCACCCGGCTGCACTGCCAGCAACGCTTCAGTCATTCTGAGACTAGCAATGGCTCCCTCTGGGGTTTGTGCTCTCTGGTCTGTTATAAATCTGGCTTTAAATTTTACTCAGTCTTTCCTTTTTATTTTTTTGGAGTTGAATATGACTTCATTCATTTTTTTTCTTTTTATTTATTATTTTCATTTTTTAACTGGAGGATACTTGCTTTATAATAATACCGTTTCTGCTGTACCACAACGTGAATCGGCTTAAGGACACATATATCCCCTCTCTCTTCAGCCTCCCCTCCACCCCACTACTCTAGGTTGTCACAGAGCACCGAGCTCAACTCCCGGTATTATATAACAGCTTCCCCCAGCTATCTGTTTTACACATGGTAGTATACATATATGGGGCTTCCCAGATGGTGATAGTGGTAAAGAACCTGCCTGCCAATCCAAGAGACTTAAGAAATGCTGGTTCAGTCCCTGGGTTGTGACGATCCCCTGGAGGAGGGGACGACAACCCACTCCAGTATTCTTGCCTGGAGAATCCCATGGACAGAGGAGCCTGGTGGGCTACAGTCCATAGGGGCTCAAAGAGTTGGGAGCAACAGAAGCAACTTAGCATGCACACACACACACACTGTATATATGTCAATGCTACTCTCTCAAGAATCTATCCATTCCATTTGTCCTCTAGGGTTTCAAATTTTCCTTTCTTAATATTTTCTTATACCCCCAAAGTCCTCAATCTTTCCTCTTTAGTCCATTTCAATTTTTCTTTCTCCTTAAACAACTTTGGTCTGTCCTTCACTTGTCCCCATGCACTTTTATGTCTTTTGCCTCTTAGTTCTGTACCTGTTTTTTGTTATGGAAGGCCATCAGCTGCCACCGACCTCCTTCCTCATCGCCTGTAATGCTCTAACCAGCTCCAGCAATTCATGATGAACTAATGGCTTTTGCCCAGGACTCAATTTCACTCAGGAATTCCACATTATTCCATATACAGTTTCCTGATATGAACTTGGGTTAGAACAGCCAAAGCTACTCAGAAAATGTGCTGCAAAATGATATTATCCTCCCTGGAGAAGCATCACTGAAGTATATAAACCTTGGCTCTTATTCTTCTGGGTCCAATGATTAAACAAAAATGGTAGCAGCCCCCCTTTAAGTCCCCCTGTGGGTGTGAAAAAAATGCCTAAAAGTCACTTAAAAGAAAGATTTAAGAAGATACCAAAGACAACTGTTCCTCAGAGAGATCCAGGGACATGAGACACTTGATTGGTCTGAACTCTGATAATACTTAAAATTTGAAACTCACCATCTGAAAAAGCAATTCTCTTTTTTATTCTGAAAATCTTTTCTCCACAACTATACTGAAAGCTCCCTGGATGCAGGGACCATGATTTATTCTCCAGGGTTGGGCATGGAGGAGGAGTACAAAAACAGAATTCCGGTAACGGATGGAAGAGAATCCCAGTAACGGATGGAAGAGAATCCCAGTGTGGTTAATGTGAGTGTAAGATGGCAGGAGAGGGGCAGGGTCAGTACTGAGACATGGCTCTGGGTCCTGAGTTTTCCTTTTATGAAACCCTATGCTTAAAACAAAACAAAATGGTTGAATCCCTTCTTGTTCACCTGAAACTATCACAACATTGTTTCTTAGTCAGCTATACCCCTATACTAGGAAAAAAAAAGAAAAAACAAAACACTATAATCTGAAAAAATATCTTTAAGTGAAAACAAAAACCCCTATGCTTTTTCAATTCCTTTGGATTTCCTAAAGCTTGGTTTTCTCAACCACCACTGATACGATGCTCTTTCCTAATTATTACTCTTGAATGACAGGGGATAACAGTGAGGAAAGAGACATGAATGTGGTCAATATAGTTGGAGCTGTACATCCATCTGATTTTAAAACATCTCTACCTTTCTTTCCCAAAGATGCCTTAAACCTTTTTATTTTATATTTTGGCCATGCAGTGCAGCATGTAGAAACTTCCATCACCGGGGATAGAATCCATGCCCCCTGTAGTGGAAGCATGGAGCCTTAACCATTGGACCGCCAGGAATTCCAAAGATGCTTTAAACTTAAAACTACTTTCAGTGAAATGAACTAGCAGTCTTTCCAGTCTCTTAAGCCAGAAGCCTGGAAGTCATCCTTGACTTTTCCCTTTATAGTAACCTCAACACCAAGTCCTGCTTAGTCTACTTCCTAAATGCCTTCAAGCCTGGCCTTTTCTCTTCCTCAAGGCTACTCTTCACTCTAACCCATTCATTTCTCATCAAGATCACTGCAACTGGCTTCTTGAGAGAGGTGATAGTTAGGCTGCCTTGAAAGACAAAGAGAAGTCAGTCAAGCAGAAGTTTGTTTAGAGAACTGTTCCCCACTGATGACACGTGGGGCCTGGGGGCGGTGAGGAAGGAGAAGCGGCCAGGATATGGAAGAGGAAGGGCCTTCTGAGCCAGGCTAAAGAGTATTTAGGTTTCATCCTGAAGGCAATGAGCACCCACTCAAAGGCTTCAAGCAGTGGATGGAAATGCTCAGATCTGTATTTCAGAAAGACCACAAAGGGCTTTTGGAAGCATAAGGAGAATGGCTTGGGGGACAAGACTAAAAGAAAAGAGGCCAGTTAGGAAGCTGTTGGTGAAAAGTAATTAGAGTAGGAACTGAGAGGATGGGAATATCGTTCAAAGATACAAAGGTATGGTGCATGCTGTCATCTTTCATCTTTCATCCTCCCTTCTTTTGTAACCTAGAGCATTTATTCACTTTTTTTTAGTGCATTTGGTACAGTGGATGCCCCATGCCTCCCCAACCCCCGCCAGACAGCAGCAGCTCACTGCACTTACCGAGAATGGGTTGCGGGTTGGTGAGGAAAAATGGTGCAGTGCTGGCAAGAACTTCAGCAGCAGCCAGCCTGGACTCTGTGGGGAGATGATCTCCACAGGAAGAGACAACCAACTGAACCCACTGCTGCAGGTTGGGGGCCACCAAGTCTCTGGTCTGAAAGTACAAAGTGTACACACACCAATTTAGAAGAGGCAATGTGAGCAGACACAGAATTAGGGATAAGTACATAGCGTACACCATACTGGATCTGCAAGTTAGCTCTCAGTGCAGGAGGAAGGAAGAAAGGTTTATTAGCTGCTTTTCCATTCCAACTAGGGAGAAAAAAACAACTCCAGGGAAGGAAATGTGATCCTTCAGTCATATGGAGGTGCTGTAATGAAAGAACAAGTTCCAGGAGTCTTTTCAGATGCAAATCAGATTATCAGAACACTGATGTATTTGATAGCTTTGGTAAAGACAAAACTTTTGGGGAAAGACTGGCAGTCAATACCTGTTGTCCCCCAAACCAGATTCTCTATCTTTAGCAAAAGAACCCCAGAGTTTTGCCTGGGCATGTGGGTGCTCAGCTGAAGACTACATTTCCCAGGTTCCCTTGTGTTGGGGCATAACATGTGTTTAAGTTTTGACTAATAGGATGCCATTAAAAGTGGTATCTGTGCGATTTCAGGTCATATGTAAGGAAACAGGTGTGAACCTCACATCCTGGGTTTCTCCTTCCTGCTAGTTGAGTGAAGACAAGGTGATGGGAGCTGCTGCAACTATCTGGGACCTTAGAATGGAAGCTATGCTAAGGACAGCAGAACAACAAGGTAGAAGGGTCTGGGGGGCAAACATTGTCGAGTCACTATGTTTTGGACTGCTTCTTTCTGGTTTAAGCCACTGTATTTCTGAGTTTCTGTTATATTTTTTTTCCCTCTGTTACATTTAAAGCAGCATCCTAACCAACATTATTGTTTAAACAAAACCCTATTGTTGTTTCTTTATAATAACAGCTATATCGAGATATACATACCATATAATTCACCCTTTTAAATACATACTTCAATGATTTTTAGTACATTCACAGATATGTGTGTACCACCACCACCAGAGTCAATTTTAGAACATTTTAATCAGCAAAAAGAGAAACCCTGTATCCTTTAGTTATCATCCCCATCCTGTCAGCTCCGCCCCCCCCCCCCCCCCCTCCGCCAACCCTAAACCATTAGTCTATTTTCTGTCTCTATGGATTTGTCTGTTCTGGACATTTCATATAAATTGAATCATACAGACGGCCAACAGGCACATGAAAAGATGCTCAATACCACCACTCAGTTCAGTTCAGTTTAGTCGCTCAGTCGTGTCCGACTCTTTGCAATCCTATGAATCGCAGCATGCCAGGCCTCCCTGTCCGTCACCAACTCCTGGAATTTACTCAAACTCAAGTCCATCGAGTTGGTGATGCCATCCAGCTATCTCATCCTCTGTTGTCCCCTTCTCCTCCTGCCCCCAATCCCTCCCAGCATCAGGGTCTTTTCCAGTGAGTCAACTCTTGAAATGCAAATTGAAACTACAATGAGGTATCACCTCATACCAATTAAATTAGAATGGCTATCATTAAAAAGTCTACAAATATTAAATGCTGAAGGGGGTGTGGAAAAAAGGGAACCCTCCTATACTGTTGGTGGGAATGTAAATTGGTAAGGCCACTATGCAGAACAGTGTGGAGGTTCCTTAAAAAACTAAAAATAGAGCAGCCATTGATCCTACAATTCCACTCCTAGACATATATTAGAAGAAAACTCTAATTCAAAAAGATACATTGCACCCCAGTGTGCATAGAAGCACTATTTATTTACATTAGGCAGGACATGGAAGCAACCTAAGTACCCACCAACTTTATCCATGATGAAGATGTGGTGTATATACACGATGGAATATTACTCAGCCCAGAAAAAGAACAAAATAATGCCATCTGTAGCATCATGGATGGACTTAGAAATTATTATATTAATGAAGTAAGTCAGACAGAGAAAGACAAATATCATATGATATCACTTATATGTGAAATCTTAAAAAAATAACATGAATGGATTATAGAGTCACCCTCATGGACTCTACTCAAAAGTGCCCAGAACAAAAGAAGAGAGATGCTAAACATGGTGCTCACAGAATTCTTCTCAAGTTATAACCAAAGTGAAAAATCAACATGAACAATGTTCTTGTAGAAGCTACACACCCGTGCCACCGTGGGATGATTTACTTTTATTGGCAACTTCCAGGGAAATCAAGAGAACAGAAATCTAGACCCTAGAACAGGGGAATCAGCCTTACCTCATCACACATCTGCATGTGGTAGGCAATCACTCTGGAGGTGAGTCTCAGAGCTTCACTTTGAATTTCAGACCTAGAAAGGTGAGCCAGAAGACATACCAAACAAAAAATCACCCTAAAATTAATATAGCACTTTAAGGCAATTACACTTCAATAAATATACAATTATGAAAATAAGTAAAATCAATCATTTTATATATATATATGGTTTTTGCAGACAGTCTGTACTCCATGTGGCTGTGAAGTCTGATAATCTCTACCTCGTGGCTACACAAATGCTTCTGGAAGCAATTACCTTTTGGTAATTAATGGGAAACTCTGACATCATTCTATTGCTTGGGCTGAGAACATAGCCTGAGACTTAGAAAGAAATACAGGACCTGAGTCCTTAGGCCAGGGCTGTGCTCAGGTTCATTGCATAAATAACTGACAGGACCATGTGTTGTACGGAGTTTGCACAAGGAGCACTGGGGGCAAACCTTTCATGGGAAGCAATATCCATCGTCCAGATCAGGAACTCCTTTGGGCTGAGATGGACACGGTGTTCTGTCTGAGGGAGCCATTCACTGGGGTCCAAGCAATGGAGAATTTTCAGTATCTATGTGAGCCAGACCCATGGAAAACAAACAAACATACAAAAACCTCAGAAAAGAGTCTTCAGAATCTAAATAAAATAATCACTTGTATGGATAAGGAAGTCTAGCTTTCAAAAAGTTCCCACTGTCTCCCCCCCCCTACCCCCCCACTTAACAGCTTTGAGAGAACAAGACAGTTGGGAGCAATGGCATACTGAGATCAGAGGCTAGATGACATATTCCTAGGTCAGTGCCCTTTCCTTTAAAAAAAAAATTTTTTTTTTAAATTTCTGACCATACCACTAGGCATATGCAATCTTAGCTCCCAGCCAGGGATCAAACCCACACCCTCTGCATGGAAGCGTGGAGTCTTGACCACTGGACCACCAGGGAAGTCCCGGTGCCCTTTCCTTTTGATTATGCTTTCCAGGTAACCATCTGCCCCTAAAGAGCCATGTCAGCAGAGGCTTACCCTTTAGCACATTCTACAGCCAATTTTTAATGCTCTGTCTCCTTGGGCACGGAGTGGCTTACTCTCTCAATCTCTGTCTTTGCTTAACCTGTGTTGGCAATACCATTAGCATCAGACACTTTTCTTAGTGCCCTTGTAGGCATGAAGCCACGCCAAGCATTGTGCAAAGAGCCCCTGCCCTTTGGATGCTGAGTCTCCTTCCTATCCTGGAGACGCCACACCCAGTCCTGCCCCACGACCTTACCGCTCGAGTGGGGCTGGCCAGAGGGTGTGGGGAGACGAAAGTGTACCCGTCAGGCATGAGACTTTACCTTGCAGAGGCATTCTGGGTGATTTTCCTTCAGCACCAATGTCAAGAATGTCCCTCCCATATTCCACAGTAAGGGTGGCAGTCCCTTCTCTCCCAGAGCAGAGGCTGCTGTTGAGAACCTTTCCAGCAGGGCTTCCAGCGTGAGCAGGCGCACTTCAGGGAAGGAAGACTCTAACAGCTGAGAGAAGGAGATAGGAACATCCCTGTTCTGCTCTCCAGCCTGGGCCGCTACTGCCCACACTGCAGCGATGGCCAGTTTGGTGAGGCTCTGGAGATACTGGGGTAGGCCTGGCACTGTGTAGGTATAGGGGAATCCTGTTATCAGCTCTGATCCTGAGATGATCCTTCTGACTTCCTCCCAGAAGCCAAGATGCTCCAGAACTAAAAAAAACAGAAAGGCAAATTAAAAGAGATGATCACTTTATTCAGGGGTCCACAAAGGACATGGGAGAATATGCAAGGCTCTGGATACCCTGGGCAGAACTACCAGACCTCCTTCCTGAGTAGATTTCATATAAACCATGTAAGAAGTGATGAGGCCACTAAGATTCAGAATTCTGGCCCTGAAGTACTTTCTATTCAGGTAAAATAATTCCCTCCTCGCCACCCCAGGGTCACAGAAGGCATTCGTATCAGAAAATGTGTTCCTGGTACCTTTCCCTAACATCCAATACATGCAAACTCAGTGACCTCTTGCATCACCAAGTCTCAAAGCTGAGCAGGATAAAAGGACATCTAGTCCAAGCTCCCTGCCGTGCTAGATCCCTTCTACAGCACCTTTTCTCAGAGGCTCTTGGTGGAACCTAACAGCAACTTGGAGCTCATGAGACAGACTGTTTCACTGTTTAGTAGATTTAATTGTCACGAAGTTCTTTTTGGAGTTTCCACTGAGTGGCCCAATTCTGCATTATCAGGTCCCCAATGAGCCCTTTAGGCATTTGAATAGTTATTGTAACCCACTTGTGTTCTCCATATGAAACAGTCCTACTGCCTTCAACTAGTTCCCAAATGATGGGGTCCACCCTCTCTCACTATTCTGAGCGCCCCCTTCCTTTGGACACGCCCCACCCCCTCTTCAGGCAGGGCCACAGAGAAGGGAACACGGCTCCCTCGTGGTCTGAGCAGTAGGACTGCTACTGTCCCTATTCTGACATGAGGTTGCTGCAGTTGTATGACGCCAGTGACTCATGTGGAGCATGAAGTCAACTGAAACTGCAGGCCTTTCTTTTTCACATGGTCTGCTGACGGTGGTGAGTCACCCATCTCCCACCTTGTACTCAGGACTCAGATCAAGACTTCCTTTGTTTATTTGCTTTAAACCCAAATAGATACCTGTTAAATTTTATCTCCCTGTTAAATTTTGTGATCTGCCTATTAGATTGTCGAGATCTTTTTGTAGCCTCAGTTCTGATCACAAATACTTACTATCTGCTTACCATCTGCTGGGTGCTAAGTAAAATAAGAACACTGCCTTTAGGGAGTTTAGTTTAGTATTTTTGTTGGAGAAAGAGAAATGAATGACTTGGTGATTCCAATATAATAGTGGGAGTCTTAAAGAGGAAGAGAGAGGAAAATGCATTGGAACCGCCAAAGGTTCAAAGGCATAACATGGAATGGATCATGTGGGGAACCATAGGCAGTTTGATCTCAGCACAGAATTCAAGGTGGGGAACACAGTGACTAGAGAAGCAATGTGGCCAGGATGGAGAGAACCTCCTAGGCCACGTGAAGGAACCTACCCATTCTTCTGCAGCCAAGAGGATGCCACTGAGGGGTTATTTTAAGCAACCCAAGGTCAAGAGAACATGTTCACTGAACTGTTTTTATTGCTGAAAGGGCAATATTAGAAGCAAAGAGACCAGCTGAACAACTGCTGCAGTAGTGGAGGAGAAAAAGGATGAAGCAAGGAAGACGAAGGGAGAAGATGTATTTTACCTGCTGCCAAACAGCTTCAAAACTGATGGGAGGATAAAAGCAACTACTGAAACGGCAAAATGCTTAGTGCCCTAAAATCATTAGGGAAGGGCTGGTAACTGTTGTATGAATGTGCCAGGAACTATAAAATATCACATACCCATTTTTTAATGCTATGAATAATAATTACATTTAGAATTGGTGGCTCAGATGGTAAAGAATCTGCCTGGAATGTGGGAGACCCAGGTTCAATTGTGGGTCGGGAAGATCCCCTGGAGAAGGAAATGGCAACTTGCTAGAGTATTCTTTCCTGGAGAATTCCAAGGACAGAGGAGCCTGATGGGCTATAGTCTGTGGGGTCACAAAGAGTTGGACACAACTGAATCTTTGTCTTCTTCGAGTTGACACTCGTTGAGTATTAGTCTAAGCACTTTAATAAGTACTAACTCATTTAATGAAATAGGCACTATTATGATTCCTCAGTATTTTACAGATGAGGAAACAGAGGTTAAGTTACTTGCCCAAGGTCACACAGGAAATAGTAGGTAAAGGAAATATGAAAGCCACAGAACGACCAAAAGGAATGCAACGTACACTTACTTTCTATTAGAAGAAGTAAAAAAAAAAAAAAGGCGGTGGGGGAGCCTTCAGGAGGGAACAGAATTTAAGATGGGCACTGAGGCTGCCCAGAGGTGCCTGCCTGGAAGAGGAAAGGGCAGTTGCTGGGGTGGGAGAGCTGGTAGAGTAGATAAAGAGGCAGGCAGATGCTTCACTGAATTAACCTGTCAACAGAGGAGCAGCCGGGGAGCTTCCGTCAGAGTCACAAGCTCGGAAACTATCAGAAGACATTCATGTAGGTGCTTTCTCCAAACCGCTGGTTAGAGATACTTTGTTCTGCAGAAAGACCCAATGAGGGGTCCTAAAGCAGAGTTTCTCAAACAGAGTGAGCATCAGAACCACCTGGAGGGCTTGTTAAACCACAGAGCACTGCTTGGGCCTCACCCCCAAAGTTTTTGATCCAGGATGGTTGGGGTGGGTACCAGGAATCTGCATTTCCAACAAGTTCCCAGGTGATGCTGCTGCTGCTGCCAGGTACTCCAAAAATCACTGCCTTCAGGTGATGGCTCTTAACTAGAAGTTATTAAAACCACACACATGCCCCAATCCCATCTTTGTAGACTCCAATTTGGACGGCCCTGATCCCATCTTTGTAGACTCCAATTTGGTTGGTTTGGAATTAGCCAACAAGTAATTCTGCTCTGTCCCTCAGCAGAGGACCACACTCTTAAGCTATGACTTTCACAGGGGTTTACAGGGTTTGAGGGGGTGGGTAGATATGGGCTGCAGTTCCAAAGAGCACAGCTGATTCCAGCCCAGTACTTCACCATAGTGAAGAACTAGAAAATTCACCATCCTCATTTTCTGTTATCCATAAAAACATCAAAGGAGGGGAAGCCCCCAAGAATTCAAAAGAATGAATAAAGCTCTAGAAAGGTCCCTCACAGGCAGGCTTTCAACACTGGCTCATTATATACATGTTCTGTTCCAGGTCCTAGTTCACCAGACTCTTCTGTTCATGGAATTCTCCAGGCAATACTGGAGCAGGTTGCTATTTCCTCCTCTAGGGGATCTTCCCGACCCAGGGATGGAACGCATGTCTCTTGTGTTTCCTGCATTGGCAGGCGGATTCTTTACCACTTTCCTGCTGCACCTGGGAAGCCTCTAGGGTGCAGCAGGAAATTAGAAAGACCAGGCTTGGCTCTCCTGGAGCTCCCTTTTAAATGGGAACACCCTCTCTGCCGGTGTCAGAACGAGGGGGCCTCTGGGTGGAACAGGAGGTTGGGATTAGAAATACAAGCAGGAATGTTGCTTTCCTCTCTAGAGCTGTGGTTTCTCAGCCTGGGAAATACATTAAATTTATCTGCAGAGCTTTAGAAAAACACTTATGTCAGGGGACACTTGACCGCATCTCTAGGGCGAGCCTGGTTCCAAGGTGACCCAAGTGATGCGCTGTGCACCTGGGGTCACAGTTACTGCTTCATGGACATAAAAAAACTCAAGTGAGTACTTCGATGGCACTTAGTTCTTCAGTCTGAGGTCTGACAACCCTCTTTTCTAGAAGACAAATTTTCTACTTGCAATTTCAATTTTGCTGGCTTTGGCGTGTCTCCTTTCTATCTTTCTTGGAAAGCCAAGTGTTCCAATGGAAGAATTAAGTGCCTCCCCTTTAATGGCCCCATCTGATTTTTCATTAATTAGATGATTTTTGTAAACTCTTGTTAATTGGAGTTTTTTCCCCAGCCCTACTCATTTGGAATAGCTGGATTTTCCCAATAGTGTAGTCATTTTAGTCACCCAAGTATGTGTAACTGATTCTAAACATTCAATATGATTTCAGTTTTGAAAAGAACTTCTTTTTTTTCTTTTTTAGACCAAGTATATTCCTAACCTTCGAAGGAATGGCTGAATGGCTTGGATTCACTTGGAAAGACAATCCTTCCTGCTGTGCTATGTCCTGGTTCAATGGAGAAATAATTCATAAGTTTGCAATTCAAGAACCAATCAAAAATCAAAACAATGTGACAAGCTGGTATAAGTTGCCAACATTTCATTTGGTAAAGAAAGGATGTTAAAAAATCTACTAGCTGTCATTATTCCATGAAAAAAAGGCTATCTGAACAACAAAAAAGTCATAGACTTCCAGGGTCATCATAAAGGACACTTCTTGACAGAAATGTGGTTTTAAGAAATATTTGCTTAGTTTGTCATTCTGTTGTAGTTATATGGTGAAAATATCACCAGGGAGCAGCATTAGGGAACTGCAGCCTCGGAGAAGGTGGTGGAAGTTTCCTGAGGTTGATCCATCTGGAGAGCAAGTCCAACCTGAACAGAGGATTCCTAGAGAGGAGTGGGGGGCCTCTGCCGATCCCTCAGGATGGCAAGCAGAGTGTCCATGAGAAGAGGCACAGTCCTTCATTCACACAATTCCCTCTGGGAGTCTCAGATGTGCTATTTTAGCAGTTTTGGTTCTTTGGGAAATTGTAGATTTCAGCATTATGACTGAAACTTGATTGCTAAATTAGCTGGATTTCAAAGCTGCCATTCCCTAACCAACCAAGGCAGGGCGCTGACATCAATCCAGGCTGTGAATAGAGGATTTAAAAGCAGCACTACCTAGACCGCAACTGGAACCAGAGATCAAATTGGCAGCATCCACTGGATCGTAGAAAAAGCAAGGGAATTCAAAAAACCATTTACTTCTGCTTCATTGACTATACTAAAGCCTTTGACTGTGTGGATCACAACAAGCTGCAGAAGATTTTTCAAGAGATGAGAATACCAGACCGCCTTACCTGTTTCCTGAGAAACCTGTGCAAAGGTCAAGAAGCAACAGTTAGAACCAGACATGGAACAACCGATTGGTTCAAAATTGGGAAAGGAGTGCGTCAAGGCCGAATATCGCCACC